TCGCATGATCCAGAACCTGAAGAGCACAATTCACCGCGAGAAGACCGAAAAGATTGAGCTCAAGCGCATGCTGCAAGATGCTCGTGATGAGGTTGAGCAACGGCGCCGTGAGAGCACTGCGCCAAACGGAAGCAGCAAACGCCAGAAGACAAAGACGGATGCGTCCCGAAAGCCTCCCCGCCCCGATCTTTTGGGTGCCGGCCGTAAAGAGAAGTCATTTGTTGAGCTTCATGACACCGATTGGGAAGACAATGCCGGTCAAATCAGTCCCACCCAAACCCACACCAAGGTGGTGTCTACTAGAGGCCGCCCTCGCTCGGAGTCTCCTGATGGACCTAGCGACGTCTATCAGACAGCTACCGAGGCGGAAGATGGATTTGAAACAGCTAATGAGCGGGCAACTGCAACTGAGAGCGAAGCATTCCAGACCGGTGTGGAAAGCATGGCCGATGACAGCAGTGATTCGGCAGATCTTACTGAGACGGAATGTAACGTACAGACAACTCCTCGGAGCCGAGTGCCTTCTTCCCTGATCATGGCCAAAGCTCGTGACCGCAGCTCATATCATAGCACGGCCTCGGCGTCTTCCGATGAAGAAGAATATGACGGAGCATTGGGCTCTCCGAGTCAAATGCACATCTACCGACCCCGTGTTAAGTCTAAACGCAGCATTTCGAGACGCATTCGTCCATCTGGAGAGGCCACATTCGCATCCACCAGTCGACCTTCGAGTTCCCGCGCCTCTGTAGCACCCAGCTTTGCGCCAGCACCAGCAGCTCAAGAGGGCCAGAGCCTCTTTGCTGAACTTGCAGAGTTTGACAGCACCGAGGACGACGAAGTAACCTCTCAGGCCTCGACACCGCGCATGGAGCCTGCATCGGATTCACGAAGACCCTCGGATGCAATGCTGGATGCACCACCCAAGCCCGCAATGGTCGATTCTGGTGTTATGACTGAACCTTGGGAGCCCACGCCGTCTGTTAGTGCTGGCATTGTTGCTGGAGCTGCCGGTATCGCCGCAGGAGCTGCTCTGCCGTCTGCTCTCGCTTCAACCCAGCCAAGTCAAGCACCAGACCAGGAGATCGTTGAGGAAAGGAAGGAAATCCCTCATTTGGTTAACCCAGAGATGAGCATGGCCGACGTTTCTTCCCAAGAGACAACGCCTTCTGCACCTAAGCGGCCTGATCTGAGTGTCTCATACATCACGGGAGGCACCACTACACCTGTGAGGCATGAGCTGCCCGCGCCGGAAGTGCCGGAAATGACGATAGCTACAATTTCATCACAAATTACGAGTCCTATTCAACCAACGGTTGTGGTACCTGAGCCAATCATCAAGCATGTTGATGTCATCAAATACGTGGAACGGGAGCCGGAGGTGCCCGAGCTAACCTTGTCCTCCATCACCACACAATCAACTTCCCCTGTCCATGCAACACTTGCTGTGCCGGAACCTATCGTCAAGTACGTTGATGTGATCAAGCACGTTGAGCGTGAGCGTGAGGTGCCAGAGTTGAGCTTCTCGTCTGTCGCCGCGCAGTCGACAATACCTGTCCAGGCAATCCAGGCAACTGTTCCTGAACCAGAACCTGTCATCAAATACGTCGACGTAATTAAGCACGTCGAACGTGAGCGCGAAATCCCCGAGTTGACATTCTCTTCCATCAATAATCAATCCACTGTTCCTCTCCAGGCAACGCTTGCTGTACCGGAGCCTATAATCAAGTACGTCGATGTGATCAAGCACGTCGAACGTGAGCTTGAGGTGCCCGAATTGACCTTCTCTGCCATCACCACTCAAACTACCGAGCCGGTGAAAGCAACCGTTCCTGAACCGCTGCCTCCTGTCATTCAATACGTTGATGTCATTAAGCACATTGAACGTGAGCGTGAAGTGCCAGAGCCAAGCTTCTCTTCCATCACCACTCAATCCACTGCGCCTGTACACGCAACTCTTGCTAAAGCAGAACCGATTATCGAATACGTTGATGTTATCAAGCACGTTGAGCGCGAGCGCGAGGTACCTGACTTGACATTCTCTTCCATCAACAACCAGTCTACTGCCCCTGTCCACGCAACGCTTGCTGTGCCGGAACCTGTCATTCAATACGTTGATGTTATCAAGCACGTCGAACGTGAGCGCGAGGTGCCTGAATTGACTTTCTCTTCGATCACCACTCAATCCACTACGCCAGCCAAAGCAACTGTTCCTGAACCGGAGCCACCTGTTATTCAATACGTCGATGTCATCAAGCACGTTGAACGTGAGCGTGAGGTACCAGTTTTGACGATATCTTCCCTCGATCTAGCATACACGGAGCCTATTATTCCAAGACCTCGCCTTGCTCCTACGCCGGCATTGTCGTTCTCCTCTGTGCGCTCTGTGGAAACCCATCCAGTGAATTCTATGCCATTTGCCATCCCTGCGGTGGCAGACTTCTCTACTCAAACGGAGCCGACAGAGTCAAAGGCCGCAGGGGCAGCTGTCATTGTCCACGAAGACCAACCCACTGGCGGTACTCGCAGCCGCACCGACACAGCCAATAGTGATCAGCTCGTTGGTGCCGGACTTGCCTTGAACGATATTTCAGGCAACGCCCTTGCTCGCTCTGCTAGACAGCAGCCTACTTCAGTGAGCATGGACCAAGGATCTCAGACAATCCTGTCCTCTAAACAGATAGATCAAATCCTTATGGATCGCGTGTCCGCACGCCCGCTATCTTCAGACAGCCAGGTGACGGACAACTCACGAGAGATTGCCGCAGTCGCTACAACTGCCGCAGCCCCTTACGTGACACCCAAGGCTTCGACGCGACCTCGCCTTTCGCAAATTCAGTCTGCGAAGTCGACAACGCCAACTTCCCGCCGGCCTACCAGTGCCGCCAGTCAGACATCTGGTGCGAGTCATCCCCCACTGCCCTTCGATCACCGGGAAGCTATCATGGCAGCCGAGAAGAGATCTATCGACATTGCTCCACCATCTCCTACCTCTGCCATGGGGCCTCCTTTGGCACCAGCCTCTGCGTACCGCATGAACTCCCAGCGCCCACTTACGCCAAGCGAACAGGTTGCGCGGGCTAGCTCTTCAAGAACCGGTTCATCTCAGGCCAGAATGAGGAGAGGAAGTCAAAGCCAGATGTCTCGACGATCCTCAGTGTCTTCTTTTGCATCTGAAATCGAGGAGCGTTTCAATATGGCCCCTCATGCTGGCCCTATGCCTCAGGGCTATGGACCTAATACGGATCCACGCATGATCCAGGCGATTACCCAAACTATGATTGGTGAATTCCTGTGGAAGTATACCCGCAAGACCGGATCATCGGATATGTCGACAACACGGCACCGACGATACTTCTGGGTCCATCCGTACACCCGTACTCTGTACTGGAGTACGCAAGACCCGCAGACTGCCGGAAAGAGTGAGCTCCGTACCAAGAGTGTGCCTATCGAGGCTGTTCGCGTGGTTGCTGATGACAACCCGTATCCTCCGGGTCTTCACTGCAGGAGCTTGGAGGTTGTCAGTCCTGGTCGACGAGTTCGGTTTACGGCTACGACGAGCCAGAGGCACGAGACATGGTTCAACGCATTGTCGTATCTCCTTTTAAGGGAGACCAACGAAAACTGTGAGGACAACAACAGCGTGACCCTCGACGATATCAACGAGTTCAACCCCCCTAGCTTCCGGTCTGGCTCTCGTCAGACAGCACGGATGTCGTTCTCATCTTACAATAGCCGCACCGCTCGTAATGCACACAAGCAACAGCGGCGAGCGGCCTCAGCGATGTCCATGCGATCTTCCGGGACTCTCGGTGGGCGTGCGTCACCGGCCCTCAGCTCACCTGTACCAAACCCAAACTCGTCGTTGCAAGTTCCCGATGATCGGCAACGTTCTTCGTCACGACTCAGCACCATCTCCAGTTCGATTCGGGGGTCCATCGCAAGTTTGAAGGGACGGCCAGGTCAATCTCCTAGTGTCCACAATGAAAGTCTTCACGGGCAAGAAAGTGCCGATGATCTGAGACAGGTGGTCGAAGCCCAGGAGCAAGACCGGCTTGAGAATGTCCGGGCCTGTTGCGACGGAAAACACGATGTTGGCTCTCTTTCTCGCACTAGTCGGTACAGCCCAAGGGTCAACCGCATCCACTCACCCCACCGTCACTGAACATCATCCTATGAGATTGGCATTTGTTCGTAGGGTTTGTGGGCAGGTCCTCAACCCAGGCCTCAGTCGCCTACAAAGATAATGACGACGAGTCTCCTTTTCTTCTGTCTCTTGTCCAACAGCAACCCTTCTAATAGTGCTTCCACCTGAACTTCTTTCGCACGAGTGTGGAACTCTTCATACATCAAAACCGAGACTCAACTGGAATACTCTTTGGTGATGGATTCTTGGGCTCCGAAACTCCCTGAATAGTTTCACCCAACTTCCTTCGCCTTCTCTTCACCTACGATTTTTTTCCTTTCTTCACTCTCTACAGATCTCGACTCTTCCACTTTATTTGTCCTTCGTTCAATAATTCGAGTTGGCGCCCTGCTGGAACGCTTCTCCCATTCTGAGTCTGCTATTTTCCTATATTCTCCTTTTATGTTGATAATTCCTGTGACTACTACATGCCGTCGTCTTTTTACCGATAGGCTCCGTTCTTTCTTCGGCTTGACCATCTGTTGAGTATTTGTGCAATTTGCACCAGACTAGGATGCTAGATATTAGTCCATGTTCAATTTGTTGGATTAAGCCTGATTACTTTTGATTTGTAAGATGCATTATTATGAGACCATACAATCTCTCGATCAGTGGAATAATCATCCCATGATCCCAGGTCATCCATTGGTTTGTCAGATCGTAGATGTGACTTGTTTCAAACGCCGAAGCCCGCAAGGACACCGGGTCACGTGAGATATATCCGCGCCCCAACTCTATATAAATCTCCACCCGTATTGTCTCCTTTCAGCATTCATGGGAGTTGGTAAAATCGGATTTCGGACATCTCTGAATCACCATGTCGACCGAAACTCCTCCACCGCTTGTCGCGCGAATGCTCGCAATGTTTGAGCCAGCACAGATCATGACTTGGGCGATGTCGCGTAAGTACAGATGCCGGACAACCATCGAGCAGACACCGAATGGCTTCGATCTCAATATATGAGACCCAACGCCGGTGGATGTGCTTTTACTCTGCTTGTATCCTCTCTATGCTGTATATTTTCTGTATCATCTTTTGTCTTTTCGACTCTCGCTGTATACTGTCTGACATTCGTTGCACATTTCTCACATCAGCACCAATCTCTCATCTTCTATACCTAAACTAGCACATCACTAACTGCAATACCGCAGACTACATCCGAGTCTGTGCCGAAGCCGTCTTTAAAAACGGCCAGCTCTTTGCCCCGATTACCCAGACCAGGCGACTCCGCGATGAAGCATTTGGAAGATTCTGGATCGATTTCACCTGTAAGTACCAGTCACCACATTTATCATCAGCAAACCCAGAGCGGAACCTCTTGCTCTTGGCGATTTCTACAAGATCAATGAAAAAGGCACTCCCTATAAAAATAAAGATAAGCAAAGAAAAACACAGATCCTAACCAAACTACCACCACAGCACTCCGCCAAATGTCATCTGACCCAAACAACACAGAAATCCCCGAGCCAGTCGGATCCTCGGCTCTAATCCCCCCACTCCTCCGCACAGCCTCGGGGATAGTCCTCGACATCGGTCCAGGCACAGGCACACAGATGCCACTACTCACCTCACCAGCAATAACAGCTCTATACGGCGCCGAGCCATGCGAAGGCTTGCACTCCTCGATCCGCGAAAAGGCGGAGGCAGAGAGCATCTCGTCCAAGTACCACATCGTGCCGACAGGTGTAGCAGCTGGTGAACTAATTCCCGCATTGCGGGCGACAGGCACGGGTGTCGTGGATGCGTATGATTCTGACGCACGCGCGGGCATCTTCGACACGATTCTGTGCGTGCGGGTGCTCTGCTCTGTGCCGGAGATGGAGCGTACGGTGGGCGAGTTGTATGGGATGCTCAAGCCTGGTGGGCGGTTGCTTGTTACGGAGCATGTTGTTAACCCGTGGCGGCGGGCGAAGGGGTCGCTTGTTGGGCGTATTGTGCAGGGTATCTATCAGATTCTTGGGTGGAGGTGGTTTCTGGGGGATTGTTGCTTAGATAGGGATACGGAGGCAGTTTTGAGGGCGGCTGCTGATGTGGATGGCGGTTGGGAGAGTGTTGAGTTGGAGAGGGCTTTTGAGTGGTCGGTTATGCCTTATATTTCTGGGGTTTTGGTTAAGAAGGGACAATAAGAGGTTTGGAGTTGGTGTGAGTCATTTATGAGATGAGCTAGGTGCACATGTATTTTTCATCAATTCAAATGGGTATCTTTGTTTATATCACATTTTCGCTCGTGTCAATGAGGTCGGTCGTTATGGATGATGGATTTCATTTCGGACAAACAGACAGCATAGGCTTTAGGGGTCTTTGGATAAATGTGTGGGGTTTCAAGACAGGAATTGCAAGCAGTATTTTCGCAGAGTGTGCATGGGTATTTCGATAACTTGGCGGTTGCTCCTCACAAGACGGTAGACCTCGTTGGGTACAAGAGCCTTGGAAGGGGCTTGGAAGGGGTTTTTTCATTGGGTTAGCGGGTGGTTTGGACGCTGCTCATTTTTGTTTAGAACCCCATGCACCGCCCTTAGACCGAACCACAGTGTCTCATTCGTTTGATGGTTTTGGTCGCCCAGCAGGCCAGAAGTCAAACAAATCTAATGCCTCGGATGTCCAGGGGCCTTGCTCTTTGGGCTCGTCTTCCATGTTGGCAGTGTGGAATGATCCTCCTGCTCTGACCTGGCGGGCAGTCAATGCGGTCGGGTCCGAAATGGATTTGCGCAAAGGTGAATCGAGAGACCTTTTCCCGGCTAGTCTTTTGATCATGGGGGGCGATTTGAACCCTGATCCATCTGTCATCTCGTCAAAGATAGATTGTGTCGAGCTTGACGGCATAAACTCTTCGCTTGGTATTGAGGAATCATCTGGAGCGGCGGCTAGGCTATACAGAGATTAGTATGACAATCTTGGTTAATAGGTGGGTACATACTAACTGTTGTTCCGGGGGTTCTGTGGCGGGTTCACGGGTTGCACTAGTAGGCAGCGTATCTGAGGTTACCGGTGATGGAGTTCGTGAGCCTCTAGGCAGTAAAGCACTGTACATTAGTTTCCTGCGTGGCTTTCCGGTTCCTATGCGTAGAGCTGACGTTGGTGCTCCAGAGCATAGTGCCGAAGGTGGACGCGATGGAGGTGCCATGTTCGTTGAAGGTGAGTTGTTGGCTGGAGGTGGAACATTGGCCGGAGGTGAAATATTGACTGAAGGTGGAATGTTGGCTAAAGACGAAACTTTCGTTGGTGGAAGGTTCGTTGGAGCTTGGTTGTTCGCAGGTTCAATGGGTTTCACATAATTGGTGACTGCACGCACTGGTGCCTGTGGTGTAGATCGACCAACAGACAATTTTCTGGGTGCACTTGGGGGAGAGCTTCTTGGGAGCCCCGGAGGGTCAGACCTCCGTGGTGGGGTGGGACGTGACGCGGCTTTTGATTGATTTTCGCGGTTGATTGATGGCTGCTCGACGTGCAAATCCCCTCGAGGCTTGGTTATTTCTGGTTCTGGGGGTATACTGGGAAGAGAACTTTGCGATGAGGGGCCGGGGAGTCTTAGTGGTTGGACGGGGGGCAGTACATCTTTCAATTTATTGTGTAGGGACCTTGCAGGTTGGACACTCTTGGTGGCTGTACGGATTGCTTCGTTGAGTCTTTGTTCAGATTCAGTTGAAGCGGAGGTCCTTGAGAATGAAGGAGGATTGGGTTTCGACGCCCGAGTTTGTTCTGACTGAACTGTCGACCTCTGCTCACAATTTGCCGGGAGTACATCGGTTGTAGAATCACCACCGGCTCGGGGTAGTTCTTTTGCCAGTTGACTCGGTCTTTGCCTCGCGGGGACTCCTCGATTTGACTCGGTTGAATCGGTCAAATCAATGACCTCGCTCTGAACACGCGAGCCTTTCTCGGCGCTTCGATTCACCACCGAGGATGTCTTCTGCCGCTTCGGTGCTGGTGCGGACTCCTGAAGGCTGGGCGCTGGTCTCGGTGAATTCTTTTCCTCGTATGGAGACACCAAATGTCTGATTGGAGTCCTTTTGATGCCCAGCAGATCGTTAAGTGACCGGAAGGACTGGGACGAACCGGAGGAACGGATAGGTGCAGAGGTCGGGGTTGAAATGTGGGTGGAGGTACGGGGGACTTGGGACACCGGGTCTTTGGTCTGCGGTGAACCTTGACTGGATTTCCGTTTTTCGTACAGGGTTGTGATATCCGTTTCAGTCGTCCCCATATTCTCGGTCACCTCAATCAGGATTCCCTTGTCCAGCTCCATTTCGTCGCCATCCTGTACTTCATCGAGGGATCGCCAGTGGTGGTCACCGATAAAGTTCCCCTGGTCATCGTAAACCATAACACGTTTGTTGAATTTATGATATCGAAGGTACCCATCGTGCCATCGTTTCGACTTTCGGCGTAGGTCATGAGTGTACAAACAGCGAAACTTCACGACCGAGGCAGTAACCTGCGGGGAGGTCGAGGGAAGACGTGTGGAAGATGACGGTGTGGACATCATCGTGGCATTGTGGAACACCGGATTTGATCATAGCTCTAGGGCTGCATCAAATATTTTAGTGCTGCGAAATGTCGTTTCAGTCGCGTTCTCGCGTTGAAAGTGGAAAACACGATAAGCTGATAAGACAGAGGGGACATGAAGGCCTCAGGCACCAACATTGGAAATTAAAGACATGTATTCTTCAACAGCTATTGGTGAATACCGCCTAACAAGGACCTCAATTATAGAATCTGGAGCAATAATCTCAGCAAGAAAGCACATATAGGCATTAAAAAAGGCCGGGGCCAAATATAGGAGAAAAGAAACGCGCTACGAATATCTCGAAAGGGATATTAGAGATGCCGGTGAGAGGTTAGTCAATTGATCATAGTTGTTATACTGAGATAGGCATCTTCTTTATATTCGACATCTGAGATAGACCTCTGATAGCTCATTTCTGAATCTTAGCTGACACCGCGTCAGTCTCCAGATTGTGGTCTCTGCGGGGTAGAATTTTTTTCAAACCTCGCCTAGCAACACCGTCAACACCTATACCAACATACTTTCTCAACAGGAGTATCAACTTGATAAATAATCGAGCTATTGCCACAACCGCCATGGGTATTCCTATCACGGCTCCTTTTGGTCAATGGAAGAGCCCGATCAGCTCTACCTTACTTGGTGCTGACGGTGTTCAGTTTGAATCCATCGCGGTAGGTTCAATGAATATCAAGATCGGTCATATTACAATCTCTCATGACCTCTTTAGGCATCAAATACAAAGGTCTATGTCATTGAGGGTCGACCCAAAGAGCAGGGACGAGGCTGCATTGTTGAATACTCTGGTGGTGAAGGACGCGATATCTTACCGGCCAAGTACATATTTGAGATCCAGCCATGTATGAACCCACATCTAATGAGAGTTCACTAGATATGACGCTCGCACCAAAGTTCATGAATATGGCGGCGCATCGATGATCGCTTTCGATGGGCATATTGTCTTTTCTGATCGGGAGACACAGGATCTGCATAAACTTGATCCATCCACAGGTCATGTTGAGCAGATCACCAAGACAGACACTGCTCTCCGCTACGCGTGCACCTCCGCTATAGGCTCTTTGTCTGATGGCCAGGCAAATTCGGGGTGGATTTTGGCGATCGAAGAAGACCATTCCAAGCCCTTGCCGTCAGAAGTTCGGAATCGACTCGTGGCAGTAAACATGCAATCCAGAGAAATAGTCAATGTTGCCTCCGGCGATGACTTCTACAGCGCTGCTCAGTTTTCCCCTGATGGCAGTAGGATATGTTGGACCCAGTGGTCTCATCCAGATATGCCTTGGACAGGAGCTCGCTTGTATGTCGCTAAGTGGAACAATGGTAAGGTCTCAGACACTCGACTTGTGTCTGGCGTGCCCAAGAAAGAAAGTGTTAGCCAGCCACGATGGGGCTTCGACAACACATTGTACTTCACGAGCGATTGTTCTGGATATTGGCAACTCTATCGGTCTCACTTCGATACTTCGGAATGCCAACGGATGACCCTGCATGGCTTAGAAGAAGTGGAATTTTCGCAGCCAGACTGGCGTCTAGGAAAGTACGTTTGATTTCGACTCGAGAAGGCGGGTGTTTAGCTGACCTATATTTTCCTTTGCCAGCTGCACATATGTGTGTTTGAGTCCAACTTCAATGATCGCGGCGTACACAAAGAATGCTCGATGGAGCTTCATACTGATAGATTTGTCGAACGACTCTTGGCAAGACCTGAATGTGCCAGTGACAGACACGATTATTTTAGCAGATAATCCCCTCTCAGACACACAGATAGCACTTCTTGGTTCCAGTGAGACAAGCTTCAACACAGTTTTTACATTGGACATCGCCGAGACCGTTAATATCAATGCGCTCAAGGCAGCTTCCGATTTCCCCATGCCAACCTCTCTTGTTTCCAAGCCGGAGCATATATCTTTCCCAAGAGTTCACGGCGAGAACTTGGAAGGGATGGCACATGCCATCTTCTACCCCCCTCAGAATCCAGATTATCAGCCACCCTCTGGATCACTGCCGCCTTTAATCGTCTGTGTCCATGGCGGACCCACGTCTCAAACTGGAACTGGCCTGAATACTACGGACCAATACTGGACTTCTCGAGGTTATGCTGTTGTTTGGGTAAATTATGGAGGTAGCTCAGGATACGGCAGAGCATACCGAGATATCTTGAATGGGCAATGGGGTAAGGATTAGATTCCTTTCATGGCAGAATCCATTCAATTCTCTCCCAATACTGACAAAATACCATTAGGAATTATCGATACAGCAGATGCTGCTAGCTGTGTGTCATACCTAGCATCCACTGGCCGAATTGACCAAAACGGAGTCGGTGTTCGTGGCCAAAGTGCGGGCGGATACATCGTACTCCAAGCTCTTTGTGACTACCCCAATCTCTTTGCCGGTGGAAATTCTCTATACGGGATAGGCAATGTCAAGGCTCTTTGTGAGGATACTCATAAGTTCGAGAGTCATTACGCATTCGCCCTGCTGTTTGATCCTGGTGCGGATGAAGCCGAGAAAAACCGCATTTTCAGCGAACGCAGCCCCTGTTTGAAGGCAGACAAAATTACTGCGCCGCTGTTGTTGCTTCAGGGAGACCAGGATTTGGTCGTTCCAATGAACCAGGCAGAGGAAATGGTCGAAATGATGAAAAAGGCTGGCCGTGAGTCTAAGCTGGTGGTTTTCCATGGAGAAGGGCATGGATTCCGGCAGGCAAAGAGTCGGATAGCGGCCGTGGAAGAGGAGGAGAAGTGGTGGAAGAAAGGTTTGTTGAAGATGGATACAGAAGCCCTTTGAGGCAATCACGACATTGTGGGTTGTGGCCTGGGAAATATGTTATTTCATAGTTAGTGATTTTGAATACAACCTGGAATCATTCCGTGTGCGACATTTCCATTGATTGGCCGAAAAGAATTCTTAGGCTTGCTATAGATGTTATCAACAAAGTTTGAATATTTGTGTCTTGAATCTGAATTCTGCTACATGGTGCGTATCTAGCATCAATCTCGAACAATTGAGAGGAAGTCTAGGTTTCTTAACCTGAAAGGTAAGGCAATAGTAAGTAACTAACTAACTAGTTAGTTAAGTTGAGAACCAATTAGAATTAATTGGGTGACCACTCTTCAAAACATCCCCCTCGCTTCTCACATCGTGTTTTCATTCCCTAGTGTCCACTGGATCTGGAAAAGAGATATCTCTTTCGTTTACGAGATCCAACCTCGCATTGTGGTAAAGGTCTCGAAGTCAGGAAAATTTGAAAGGGAACAATTCGATAAAGAGCTAGAGATATACCGGATCTTCCAGAACGCCTAACAAGATAACGACAAAGTCTACCATGACAACTTCGCATACGCAGCGAGCTGTTCTTGTTGGGTATGATTTAGGAAAGAGTTCCTACAATCAAGAACAGATGACTGGACTGAGTCCACCAATTTTCCTCTATGAGTCGCCCGCTAAAGGCAGTCATGGAGGGCGAGCGCTGCTTCGTAGGCCGGTTAAAATGGCTAGGGCTGCGTCTAAACTCAAACCGGAGCGAAGGCGAAGGCACCATACCTAGAATAGAAGAAGGCCATTTTTGCGGACTGACCGTTGTATCTTGTGATTACTGTGGAAGAGAAAACAAATATCTATAAAATATTTGAAGAGTCCTTGTGCTTTCGATGTGTATATAGAGTTCTGAGGTCAGCAGGTTAAGTTCCAAGACCCATGGATCGCAATACCTAATATGAATTTCAATGTTGACCTACATACCTGAGGTACATCATCCAGGACTCTTTTGCTTTGTTTTTTTTCTCTCTTTCTTGGGTAATGTAATTCTATGACTCACACAGGCTAACGAACCCCTCAAAGTATACATATATCCTTGTCGAAGGGCCCATGCGCTCGGTCCAACTGTCAGATGTACGGAGTATGAGATAAGATGCCCCCTAATTTAATATTTATCTAGAGTGGGGGATAAGTTCTGATCAACATACCACCTTCCCGAAAGGTCAATATTGAGGGGGTCGGGGCGAGAGCCGCACGAAAGGCTGAAACATCTCCCATTGGGGCCGAGTTTATGTGAGACCGTCTAGCCCCCTTGTTACAACGTTTTTCCCATCACTTTACTTTTTGTGGCGTTGATTAATATTGACTTGAATTAAAGCTTGTTCTTTTCAAGACTGTGCGACACTCCCGTTGCCTCTCTCTCTTTCTCCCCGATTCGAGTTCCTCAACTTCTAAGAGCTCAGTGCCCAATATGCAGAACATGTCGAGGCGCTTTGGTCGTATGACGACGAAGTCGTCTGCAGATGACAGCCAAATCGCTGTGCTTCTAAAAGATTTCGACGATGCAGATATGCTCCTGGGAAAGGTAGACAATGTTACCCCGAAGACGTGCGTTCAATCCCATTTGCTGATACGTGTTCTTTGGCCAGATTATGGAGTCTACCAAAGCCTGGCGTGATGCGTGGGTCTCTATCGCAACTTACCAGAGTCGCCTTGTCGATGAGTTCGACGGCCTCTACGGTCCTATCATCGGCTCCTCAGAAACCCCGTCCAATCACAAAGCCGTGGAAACCGACCCCATCAGATTAGCTCGGACAAACCGACTGCGGAAGGAATATGACGAGCTACGTAACGATCTCATAGAGGAACTCAATGCTGTCGATACTCGCATGTCCCAGCCAGCTGCGCAGGCCAAAGAATCCCTTGCGCCGATGAAAAAGACGATCAAAAAGCGAAATGACAAGAAGGTACACAATGAAGAATGGCAGTTCTTGGTGAATTAATTGTCGCTGATGTCCCATGTCCCAATTACTAGACCGACTTTGAAATATCCCAAGGACGTGTTGACAGCCTCATGAAAAGGCCAAAGCGCACCGATCGCGAAAATGTGAGCCTTGCCAAAGCAGAGGCAGAACTTGCCAATACGAAAGAGGTACAAGTCTCAATGCCCATCACTACTCATAGAATAAAAAACACTAATCCCCATCCAGGCTTACCAAGCTGCCGACCATGATCTACGACAGCGACTCCCAACATTAATCGCTCTCATCTTCTCCCTGACGCCATACATCCTCGACGCACAGGTCGAGATCCAAAACCGCATGCTTGCGCATTATTACACAGTGCTTCACACCTACTGTGTAGAAGAGGGGTTCCCCTCCCCGCCACCAGCCATGGAACAAGTTGTCCAAGACTGGGAGTTCGCCTTCAACCCCGTGCAAGCTGAAATAGAAAACTTCGGCTGCTTGACCCAAGGCAAGGCCATGCACCGAGCCGCAGCCGACCAGGAGAATAAGAAGCGTCCCTCAATTGGCGGTCGCCTATCCAGCACAGCCTCATCGACCTCGCTTCATAATTCTTTCCGCCGGGGATCACAAACACCAGGATCGTCGAGCCAAACACCCTGCGTACCAGAATATCCTCCCTCTCCGCCCCTGTCAACCATTAGTCATAGGAGCAACGCGATTCCTGTTGGAAACACTGCAGGATCAAAGCCTCTCTCGACTGGCGGCGACTACTTCGACCCTCCTCGTCTGACATTCTTGCCAACCCCGCAGCCCACTCCTATCCCATCAGGGGTAGTGAGATCACCCGCCGGCCCAAACATAGACTGCTTCCAGGCCAAGGTATTGCCCATGTCTGTCGCTGCAGGGAAGAAGAGACCCCCACCACCACCGCCAGCTGCTTCCCGTCCAGTATTTGTCACGGCATTGTATGACTTTGATGGCCAGGGGGATGGCGATCTGAGTTTCCGGGAAGGGGACCGTATTCGCATCGTGCGGAAGACACAAAGCACAGACGATTGGTGGGAGGGTGAGTTGAGAGGGCAAAGAGGACCTTTCCCTGCCAACTATGTTGAGTGATGGGCGGCATTGGAAGCGCAGGAGAGGTCTCGGCTTATGGAACATGCTTGGAAACGACGCATCGGGTTTTTTTGTGGATTGACCCCCTGCCCCGTTATCCAGGTACACGATTAATGAACTCTCTTGTTGGTTATGCTGCTTTGTAGTTATGGCTAACCGTTTGGTACTGTTCTCATTTTTCTTTGCTGGGAAACATGTAAAAACGATGCTAAATTACAATTCACTCTGCACAATCTCTTAGATGTCTTGAGTTATTCATTTACGCATAAGCCTATTTGTCGAGTTAGGATACTTCCATCTCGGCAAGATCAGATCATGGGCTGCGAGGTTGTATTCTTGTGTGAACACTACTAAAAGCATATCACTGCAACAATAAAGCTTGCAACTTTAATGATCCAATGATTGACACCATCGGAGATGTCTCATTGTTCCCTAGTTGAAAGCACTGAACATTAGGCTCAGATTCGCTTACAATGCAAGTTAGTCGAAGGAGTATCGTTTACCTATTTTTGTAAAGGATGTATTGATTTCTTTGGTCTTGAATGGTAAGCAGTGAAAGGCTTCGAGGCTTTGTTTATTATACTTTATATTTAGAAATCGGGTGCCATAGTACCTAGTCAAAGGATCGACGAAAGGCATTGTAACAACCTGAGTGTAAAAGACTTTGTTCTTAGGTCAAAGACAGCCTTATTGACACAACTGTCCTCTACTCCACTGTTTCCTATTTAAATAGCCTCGAAGTCCCCCATCTAATCTCTACCATCAGACACCATCGGACAGAACAGCACTTCCTGATCTCAAGCAGCTAACCATTTTTAGATCAATACGCGATAGCCAAAGCCCACGACCCTTGGAATCATGTTCAAATCAAAGCTACCACGGCTCTTGAGGCGCGAGGCCCCCCCAGCCATGAATAAAGCACAGCGAGATGCCCTGCAACGCACACGTACTATTTTCCTCTCGGAGGGTCTACCTCACTACGAGGACCTACGCACCCTGGCCGAGTTGTGGTGGGTCTCAGTGCCACTTACCATTGAGGACCGCCTCTCTTCCGACGAGGAGTTGATGGATGTTATGGCTGACCGTTGCCGGGCTGGAGATTGCAAGGTCACCCACTATGAAGCCATGCACCACCAGGAAGCCCTTTGGCTCTCGCTCCCAGTTATAAACTGTGACAAGGACCTTGCAGAGCAAGGTTGGGTTGTTGGGGTTATCGCACTTGCTGAGCACTACCAGATGGAGATTGCTGCCGGACGCCTTTCAATCGACCGGGATTATATTTTTGAGCTTCGGTCATAGAGCCTGAGACACATGCGTGTAAGTGATATATTGGAGGTAGTTAACTACGTCCTATTTAGTTAGTTCTTAACATATTGGTTTAGACATTTGGTTATTATATCCCAGATTCCAGTAAATCTCCCATGAGAGCCGAGTAGTGCATAGCATAGCCCTCCATAAAACATAGATGAAACAGATACAAATACAGGAGAGAATGTATTGCGAGAAAGGTAAACCATATAATTTCCGGGTGCCTCGCGAAACACAGCAGATATTAAATCAAAAGAGTGTGACAAAAATGAAGTTTGAACCAAGACGACAGGACAGAATCGAGTCTCATCCGAGACAGACTGATAGTTCACAAGATAAAAGAATATTCTACTGTAATCTATGTGACGGTAAAACGGCTACCTCGGGAAGTGATCAGGTCCGTCGAGTATATTCTTGACATAATCGAACAAATGGCCCTTTTAGCGGTATAGTTAGATTTTCCTCTATTGCCGCTACGAGTGCTGTCATCACTTCACTGCTAGAAAAGAGAGAGGATATATATAGTATTCTATTAATAGTACGGCTCTAATATCTTCCCTGCACCTACTGGCAGTTTAATCTAGAGTCCGCAAATATGGCAAATTTTGGAACTCGAACAGACAATGCATCAATAATTAATTTGTTTCTAGGGGCTTGGCAATGAGCTCCAGGAGAGACTAGCTGCCTTCGCTCCGGAGAGCCGCTTCTGATCGTCCTTCCCGAATACCTACTTACTTGTGGGAACGAACGTCGCAATTGGCCCTGTAACTGCCTGGATGACCTGTATTGTAGACCAGGTGGTGTTGTCCTGGCTTCTGGGAGACTACGGCCGGGTGATTGAGTGAGTGATTGATAGTCTGTCCCAGATCGCAGATTCGCTTCAGGCCACCACAGATATTGTTAGGGCTGCTACGGAGTCCTAGAAAGAGAGAAGGGAGAGAGTTGTATTCGGAGCAAACAGCGAGCTCCTGACTTAACTATAACAGATATCAAGCGCAGTGATCTAACTCAAATGGACAGACTGTAAGGATATGGAAACGGGAAACTTATTAAGAGATATAACATGAGCGACTTTGATTGAGCCATCGTCAAAAACCTTGCTCTTCCCAGACTTCCCCAGCAATTTTCTTCAGAATTGCGTCGTTGATGCTGATGTTTGTTTCTTTCGGGATGGTCGGCGGGCGAAGAAAGAGCTTGTCGAAGCTGATGTTAAGCGGCTGGCCCCCGAGGTAGGCCTGGTTATTCTCGCCTTTGATGATCGTAACGACCTGCTGACGTTTGGCCCTATCATGCACAAGTTCCCATAACTCCAGCACGATGTTGGGCGAGCTCCGACCGATCTTGATTGTGATGACCATTTGAACATCGCCATTGGATTCGGAAAGCCAGAACCGGGCATCCGACATCAATTTGCAAGGCGACTCTGAAAAGCCCGTTTCCACAACAACCGAGGGCCATTTCTTAGTTCGAGCCCGAGGAAGCCTTTTTGGTAAAAATTGGCAGTCAGGCTGTTTAGCTGAGCCATTTTCTGCTTGGCAAGTGGCGGATCCAAAGGTTCGAAGACAGTCATCGAGGCCCATCGGCTTAAGACATTCAAAGAGGAGCCTTTCGAATACGCGTGCCGCAATTTCATGAGCGCGTGAGACTGTCATTTTGACAAGGAGAAGGTGTTGGAAAGAGTTGTAAGAATTCCAGCAACGCTGAAGGAAACTATCGTCCGAGTTTAGGAAGTCGCGAATGAAGGCCTGCTTGTTAACCTTGTTGAAGAGCACCCATTCACTCGCCTCAAATTCCTCTTGCTGGCGACTCAGTTCCATCTTTACAGTTTCTAGAAACTGTTTAGTTCCCTTGTACGGGTACCTTCGGATCGGGGGCCCTAGATCACTGAGAAATCTGCTGCTAGAGGTCTCGGTGTCTAGCTCAAACTTTGTGTTCGATGACATGATGACCACAATCATGCTGTCTAGTGTTATTGTGAAAGAAGAAACATTCCCATATTGACTGTAGGCATTAAGAATCGTCCTCGAGGACCACCTGACGCTAATGTGACGTAGCCTTATTACGATCTTCAGCGCAATGGACATCTACGTGCAGGGCCAACAGGTCTATGCTGCCCCAAAGATAGCGGCTAGTTTAAGTCTTGGACAATGGGTTTCAAAAAGGCTGTATATAGCCATGATATGGCAAAAATCATGACAAAAAAGTCCCAGGATAGCATTCCGACTATGACCAATCGAAGATCTTGTCACAGCACGCTGATACAGCATGGCATCGTATGCAAGAATAGGGCTACTCTAATAATGAGAGCCCCAATCTAAAAGAGATGGGTTGAATTAATTGAATTGAGTTGGAGAAGAGACAAAAGGTGGGAGGGAGAGAGTGCAATGACAGAGTCACATAGTAAAAACAAAGAAATCACAACACATGAAACCGAATAATTTCAGGTGTATTTTATTACTTCACTTTGCTCGACAAGGATTTTCCATAGCAATATCTTGGCGATTCATGCGCCTGAGACCTAATTTCCGGAGATCGGAGAAGAGAAAGGCGGCATCGAACATTTATGATGGGTCTAGCCAATCCTTTTCGTAAACCACACATCTGGGAGGCCGTCAACACATGCGGGGAGGTTTTCAAACCCACTTTCTGAGTACGAGTCACCCACGACGGAACCACAATTCCTTTCACTATGGCGCATATCAACCTTATATTGATTGGCTTCCTCATAATCACGATTGACAAAGACGGATTATTACATAGGGTGCGGCTCTCAGGAGGGCTTTCCAACGCCGTAGCTTCCTTCCATCGAAACGATATACTCTGTAAGCCGCCAGGACCGCAAAAGCTTTCGTGACTCAATTCTTGTACTCGTCTGACCAGCGAGCTAGAAGACATTATAAACACATCATTATACTATAGACCCAAGCGTCCAATACATGATTTTCCGAAGATACATTGAACAGACAGTTCCAATGCATTCGAAATTAAATTCTACATCCAGTGCCATATTCCCAAGGCAAGGCTTCTTCTATGTGAGCAATGATCTCTAAAAACTTCCGTTCAGCAATTCTACACTCACTTTGGATCCGACGACCCCCAAAACATGTCGTCAATTTGTCAAAAACAGTTACGCGCCCGCCAACAAAATAAATACTACTTACCAAGTGTCCCAAGAAAAAGAACACAGAACGGAATCTTGCGAAAGCCATCCTTGATATTCAATATTACTAGCTAAAAATACAGCTGAGCTTCAAGGTCTCGGGCTCTTTTAGTCTACAATAGCGCTACGTCGAATATTCAGCTAGAATGTAGCTATGAATACATTGAATAAAAATACCCTAGTATACATATCTCGAGCATATATGTTTCGTGACAAACTTTATGGGGTTTTATGACTTCTAGTGCCTGCGGTTGTGTAAAATATATCCATTAAAATACTCCATAGCTGCGGGAGCCTTATATCCATTTTTATAGAATAACGAAGTCAAACAAGCCACAAGCTACTAACAGATGGCATAAGGTCCCCCTGAGTTATAAATAGCCCTCCCAACACAATTACCCAGCTGTAATGGTAGAGAAAACGATACATGGGAGCGATGATTCGCACTAGGACCCAAGGAAGCATACCACCCAGTGATAAGACCACAATGTTTGACAGCGTCATGAAAAGCAGATCCATCATCAGTGATCCATCCATCGTTATAAACTACGAAAAAATGCAACAGAACCGCGTATTTTTTTTCGCAGACGGGCGCGTATGGGTTTGGAACACTGTCGGTAGTTTTCTGAGTGCAGCATTCGCCAATAATATTGTCTGGGATTTGTCAGTACACAGTCCGTTTGTTATACAATGTATGAAGGTGGGGTGGATACTTTCACTGTCATAGAGACAGTTGTCCTCTTTGAAATAAACATCGCCATAGTTAGACGGCCAGCTGACAGTAACCTCGCAGCCAGGTTGTATATCCCCGGAAGAATTACTGCCATCAACCTGCGCATAAATCTTTACTGTAGTAGTATCTGAATCGGAGCGTATGGCGGCTTTTACGATAGGTTAGCTAGTCATTTCCTAGTTATAAAGGTTGAAACTCCAGTAGAAACTTACTCTGAGTCCAGTCGTGGCAGAGGCTTTGGCCATTCACAGAGATACAACCGACATCATTGTGCTGGAATTTGAGTCAGCTCTCTCATATTGCATAGATTAATATTTGAGGAGACACTCACGATAATAGTTCCATCCCCTCTGGGAGCGACTGTGTTAAGAGATATCTCAGATGTAGGCGCTACTGGAGCCGTGGTGCTTGCTGTGGTTGTAGTGGATTGAGTCTCAGAAGTTGACAATGGGGGCTGTGCAAACGAGGAGGTAGTGCTAATGGGCTGATGAGCATTCGACTAACTTGACCATCATGAATAGTAAACTGACTGGCTTGAAACAACAGTGTAACTGGAAGCAATAATCTGGGTCGAAGAAACCGTTCGACCTGATGGAAGCGGAGTGGAAGACCGCACTGACGGAGTGACACTCCATGCTGGGCCGGAGCCAGTGGTGAATGGGAAGTTTTGGATAGCTGTAAATTTACCGACATCTGACGTGACCGTGATGGACGAAGTGGAAAGGGAAATGGTGTCAGTTACTGTGGACCTCGCCGTGCTTGAGGTGGAAGCGGAAGAAGATGTGCTAGGATCCACTAGATCCTGGATGTCACCAGATACCGGGTACATTGCCGGAGTCAACCATAAAGGGACTGAGCCAAGGGGTATGATCATCGTGCCAAGACTATCAATAAAGACAGGCGTGGCAACGCCGCCCACCATTACCGTGGCAGCCAAGCCTGCAGCAGGAATTATTGGCAATCCAGCCAGCACATCATTAGAAGCTTTCTCTTTAACAAAAGTCACACTCTCAGAAGGATTCGATGGATTGGTGACGATGGCTTTGGCCGAGTCGGAGGTGGGGACGGGAATGGCAGCAACTTCGATGGAAGTTGCCGTAATGATTACAGCAGCTGCAGATGAACTAGGTGTCTTTGTAGAAGAGCTCGAAGAAGTCGCTGAAGTCGCTGAAGCGGCAGTACTTGAGTAGGATGGTACTGCAATAGAGCTTGAACTGGGGCTGGAGCTTGAACTGGGGCTGGAGCTTGAACTGGGGCTGGAGCTTGAACTGGGGCTGGAGCTTGAACTGGGGCTGGAGCTTGAACTGGGGCTGGAGCTTGAACTGGGGCTGGAGCTTGAACTGGGGCTGGAGCTGGGACCGGAGCGGCTAGTAACCCAAGTGCTAGATGATGACTGAAGCGCAATGGGCTTGGAGCTGCTGGTATCCGGTGTGGTTGATGCTGACGAAGTGGATGTAACGCCGCGGCTGGAAACGCCTGCGGTTCTAGACGAAAAGGTGTGTTCGTGCTTGGCGCTGTTCGGCAAACTAGTTGAATAGGTGTGCTTGGGACGGGGCTTGCTCAGAGAACTGGTTGACAGTCTGTTTAGAGGGTGAGATGATGAAAGAGGCCGAGGCAGGGCTTCCTCCCCCTCATGTCCATACCCAGAGACTCCCCGTAGGAGGAGAGCACCAATAAACAACCACACAGAAACCTGCATCTTTCGTGATTTCCTTGAACAAAAGATGAGGATGAGACCAGAGAAATAAATACGTCCCTAATATCTATCTAGGTACACTAGTGGTTTGGTCTTCAAATATAAATGAAATGACTCTGATTTGGTGGCGCTTTGGAGTCTCTGCATATCACCTCATTTCAATTGAGGAATATCTACTCTGTACATCAAGTGGCCCTATATGAAATTAATACCAATTTGCCCCTTATCCGTAATGCCCACTTACTCTAAATAGCGAACAGCGAGTTCCCCACTTTCCCGATACGGACATTGCAGAAGACCGTACAGCAATGGGGTGACCTTAGGGGTATGGGTTCTCTAAAATGACCAAACCACAATATTTGATCTATGGGATATCGATGAGTAACTGTAACAAGGGATTTTGGTATGACTTCGTACCAGTGGTCTGATATTCGGGTATGAATACCCATCAGCTAGGTATTTTAATGTGGTTTTTGGTAGGATATAAAAGGGCTCGATGTCTAAAAATTAATTCAGTACAATCATCCAGTCATATACAACGCGTCATCCCCCAAATTGAAAGAAGGATTTAGGAAAACTTTGGGAAATGACGATTTTCCTTTTTAGGATATTTTGTGCTTCTTACTCAGGCTATTGGTTTCTGTTTCAAAGCCGGGGGTATCTTACATCGTACGATATCTGTTACGAGAATAATGATGACTTTCCTTTTTTGTATCCCGCGTGCTCCATACGGACTGCCGGCTTTATTTCAAAGTCGGATACAGGCAAGATGAAGCGAGAAAGGGTCGGGGTGGAGATAATATGGGAAATAATAATTCTCCCGTTGATTTTGATTGACTTCTCTCAAGTTTCACCCGAAAAATGTTGAATTATATACAACATAAGACACCTAGCCTCCCCATCTATGGCTAGAGAATTTTCACCTCATTGTCCCTTCCTGCCATGCCGTCCCGAGCCCATCTTTGGCTTCTCATGCTGCTGCCCAAATGGACAGCAGCTTCCCCTGTTATCCTAAATGAGCCCTCCTCCCCTTACCCACAGGCGACGCCTCACCCATCTGCTATCGAGAAACGTGGTGATGGAGCCATGACTTTGCCAGCCAGTGAATGTGGCTCTCCTTGTACAGTCAGTTTTGAGCCAGTCACTACGACAGTGATTGTATCTGTTCCAGCTCAGACTGTCTGGGTGGCGAGCATCACCCAGTCTATGATATTTGACTTTACCCCGGTCACCACGACCACGGTTTTTCAACCGAGTGCGCAAACATTTCCCAATGACGACCCGGTTGCCACCCCGGCAATTACATTGCAACCATTGGAGCTGGGAACTGTTGCGGTGTTCGGAAGTGAGGACATGGACATTGATGATGACAATGGCATGGACATTGACGATGGCGGTGTTGTCCATCATGAGCACATCACCCTGCCGGTGGAATACATGGTCGTTGACAATGATCCAGTGCAGTATACGAGACTTGCAGAATATAACCCGTATAACTTGGATAACAACTGCGCCATCATCACCATGTCTTATTTGATGGGGATATCATTGGATGAATTCATCAAACACACGGAAATTATGCAGCCAGGGTCATATCAACCTGGAGGCATTACTACCGGCCAGATACAAGAATACCTTGAACATACTGGTCGCAAATACGCGTAAGTAGAAGATTTTCTTTCGGTACTCACTTACTAACGGTTGGAGTAGATTTGGACCATATGATAGCGCCCATGGCAACAGTCTGAACGAAATTATGGGCGTCCTTGGTGCTGACAAGCTTGGGGTTTGCTTCATTCGTGATGTATTAACAGGACATTGTGTTGTATGGGAGAATGGACGTTTCTGGGATTTCCAAACGGCGGATAACCCAATACCCTACACCGAGGAGAACGGCGTCCCCATTACGGACTACCTACGCTCCCGCATGTTAATGCGCAAGGATACCGGAGAATGGATTCGAGCGACATCATACATATTTGCCATTTATTAGAACATTGTATTGGATAAAATCAACAGGCTTCTGAGGGAATGGATACAATCCGCTAGTGACATGTGTATCATCTGCGCAAGCGTAGAGTTGTAGTAACCTTGTCCTTTCAAGTTGACAACTCATTCTGTTCAGCTGTTCTGTTAACTATGTATATTCACTCGAGTTGCTATCAAACTAATACGCTTCTGTTGGGTTGCCATAATCATATTTTGTTATAGTCAGATATAAGTTATCACACAACGATGTTAGAAACTCCCAGATGCCAATGAATTCGTATGTCTACCAGATAGCATTTTGTTAGTTTTGATATGAATTTCCTTTTTGTAATTTGAATCCTGAGAGTACATGTGTCAACCGGTAGAAGTTGGCACCAAAGAGTTACATGCCTGTAAGAAAAAATCAGTATGAAAAGGGAAGTAGACTTCAGAGGTTCAGGGGCATGCAGGAGATTCAGGTGTAGAATAGTGAAGTTCAGGGCATTCAGGTGGATGGGCTGAATGGACTGAAGAGTAGGGCGGCAAGAGGGAAGTTCCTAACGAATCAAAAAAAAGGTGAATACGGACATATAACAGTGAATATCTCTTGGTATATATTGTTCTACGAAGAGACAGCTTTAGCTGCTGTCCTTTTTTTCAGCATTTCTAGCCTGCATTGGCAAGCACCCCTTGTATAACACGTGCACCTATACTAAACAGTTCTCCCCTGCTTAGTTTTTAGGGCGGGACTTTCTTTCCTTGGGGCGATGGATACTGTGTGAACTTGCGTATATTTAGATTCATGTGTCAGCGCTAGGTTGCAGATAGAAGGTTGGTGATACAACATTTGTGTAGAAGTATGGCATGAATAATATTGGAAGAAAGCCATCCGGGAAGAAACAAAAATATCAGCACAATATTGTATAGTTCACAGTGAATTAGTATCTTTCATGCTACAACGCCGAGAAAGAAAGCCATATAAAAAAAAGACATTTTAAAAAGACAGCTAAAAATTAATCCACAATTACCTCAACAAAGTGTCTACTCTAAATGTCGTATTTTGCGCCATCAATATTTGCCTGCATCTGATAGTTCATGTATATTAGAAGACTAAATAGTGCTTTATTAACCAAATAAAAATCAATACCAACTCCTTTCCATCTATATACCAACGTAACAATTGTACTACATTATTGATTGCTAGACTGACCTAGGGCCGATTGAGCTGTTCGCGGCGATAGAAGAGAAGGAAACCAAAGCTGCAATCATAGTTAGTACAATGCGAAACGATGAGGAGATATATGATAACTCACCTAGCCAGAAGCTGGAAGAAAAGAGCAATCCAGAACCACGCGTTGCCAACTGCGTCTAGCGACGACCCAACATTCGGGGATATGCCTGCTGGGCCGACCTTGTTTGGTGCGAAACCACGAGCACAAATCGTAGCGATAGATCCAAGAGACTGTGCGGCCAACAGGACGAAAACGACGTGTACTCTTGTCAAGGTCTGGAGAAGAATCATTCCCAAACCGACTTGCTGAATCTCATCAAGAACACCGAGCCAGAGCCAGAGACAACGGGATGCGATAGCCCCGGAAGTCAAACCCCCAGCCCATGGAAGATAGTATCCGATATTGGATGTTCCCCACCATGTTTGGGCCCATCGTGGTGCACCGATACTCAGACCAAAGACGGGCAATATCCAACTGTGCTCCTTGGACAAGAAGCGGAAGATGAGCATCACACCGACCCAGAGGAAAACAAAGAAGAAGATGACCAGGAGAGCAACTTCCCATGCTTTGGTGTGTTGGGAGGACCAGAGGAATGACCAGTTTCGACCGAATGCTGCGGAAAGGAACCAGTTCTGGATGATGACCATGAAGAAGAACCAGAGCACGATACGGCGGCGGAAAAGGGATGTGTAGAAGAACAGAATCTTTCCAGGTGCTTGGCGATAGTACTTGGGCAAGCCAAGGGCGAGAAGCACACCGATGATGAAACAAACTGCGGCGATGGGCATCACCACAGCCGCGAGTTTCCAGGAATTCAAGGCAGCCGTCGAAACACCCCCAACTTCCACCGCGGTGACTTTGGAACTCCAGTACCACAGAGCAACAGTGTATAGCTGTGAGATACCCTGGATAAGACTTGCGCGGAACATCCAATCCTTCACAGGCACAGCACCTTGGTCACCAAAGTTAAGAGCGAAGAACAAGGAACCACTGGAAGATGCTGCGGCATAGATACCTGCGGCGACATTCTGAGCCCACGCTTGACCAATATCTGAGAGTGCGAAGGGAGAAACGCCAATGGTGATAAATGCGATGGAATATATGAACCAGGGAAGAGTGAGGACAATCACAGATGGGAAGCGGAAGAAGAGGCACCACCAAACAATGGAAGAAACGCAGTAGATTGCCGCGATGACATAGAGCTTGACTGCCGTCTCGCCAATCTGGCCAGCCAAAAGGGTGATCTGCGCAGAGTTCGTGGCGATGATTTGCCCAAGACCCAAGAATAGAGCATAGACAGGCCAGTTTCCGACGCGCCATCTCATAAAGCGCTGGATGGCCATGGGTCTCTTGTATCCAAGACGGGCGAGCCACAGATCAATTTCATCTGTATTGTTAGATTCCGAGGCTTCGGAACCTTCTGTGACGAGGTTATACGGTTGGGTCTCAACAGTTTGGTCCAAGCCAGCTCCTGTCAGAGGACGCTCTTTAGGCTGCTTCTTCAATTGCGCGTCGTTGTACATGTAAAAGAACTTTCGTTCACTCTTCATCAGATAAAGCTCAATACAGTAATCTGAAATCGAGTTTTTCTTGTTGAGGTTGGCGAGCTGCTTTTCGAAGTGCCGCGTGAAGTTGCCCATGCTGTCGGTAAAGGTGGGGTCAACCTTTTGCAGATGGAAATTGGGTTGGTTATGGTCATTAACAACAGAAGGCAAGGAGAGGACGGAGATGTTCTGGGCGTGAGCGAAAGGTGTAGCAGCATCAGAAGGATCGCGAGACAGTCTCACTGGAGAGGAGTCTCTGGAGAGAAATTGCGATGTCTCCGAGGCCGACGAGCTAGACAAGCCACGAGAGTGATTGTTGTTCCTAGGGTGTGTGCTGAGGTCCTGGAGAGGTGAACTGAGAGCCGCCATAGCCTCTTCTTGAGATATATATTTCTCCTGTGTGCCATCATCTTCAGCGTCCGTGGTATCACCATCAACGGGCGGCTCGAGTATCTGGCTTTCGCGCTGTGACTTCTTGACGAGGCGTTTTCTGCCCTGTCCTGGTCCAGATCGTCGACCGAGAGACAGGTTGCGACCTAACATGCTGCCTCTGTTGTTTTCGGCTGCTTGCATCTCTTGAGCTTCGACTGCCTGGAGCTGTAGAAGGGAAGGCTGAACGGGTTGCGATGTTCTGTTTGGTGGCGTATCTGCACCCCCCACCGCTGACTGGAAAGATGAAGGGCGGACCATCATTGTGGAGTCCCGCAAGCCAGGGTTCTCCGTTTCCCAAAATATCTGAGACTCTCTCGCCGATCCTGCAACGGTGAGTTGATTCTTTTGGTGATGGATGTTGATAGATGTCCGTTGTAGAACTTCGAGCTTCTGAACCCACTCAAGAACAGGGAATCGCTGCTTGGCAGAGTTTGCACGCATCTCCTCTCGGGTCTCTTGTGTTGAATCCAAGGCGGATTTGATGGCGGTTCTCAGCTGGTGCAAGAGATGGCGAGCTGAGTCTGATTCCACAGTGTACCACCAACCAGGCATCTGGCCTAGACCTCCAATGCGGGAACCAATTCCAAGTGCCCCCTTACGACCAAACTCAACGGCAATCAATCCAAAGGGCTCATCCCGAGATGGAATCAGAGCGAAGTCGGCACCAGAGAACACGAAGGGGGGAAGGATCGTAAACTCTGGCTTCGAAAAGACACGACCTGGGAACATTTCCATAATGCGCTGCAACTTGATAGCAGCCAGTCTGCCATAGAGATCAATGATAGGACCAATACAGATCAGCTGGACATTAGGTCTAGCAGATAAGACAGCCGGCATAACATCCGCAATCAAGTCGACTCCCTTCTGCTTCGACCATCTTCCCACAAACACCAGCAAATCAGCGTTGGGGTCCTCATTCAAACCAGCCCACTTCTGTGCCTGGATTTTGTCATTGGCCAGCTCGTCGGTAGACTGGACAGTAACTCGCACATCGGGGTCTTTCTTCAAGGCGCCTGTGTCGGAGGGATCGGGGTTTGGAAGACTTCCAATCTTGCCAAGACTCCAGAAGATTGGATAACGGGCAAATGAGCGCTTTCCATACTTCTCGGATACACCAACTGCGCCGAAACCGCGTTGATGGAATCGCAGATAGCTAGCACCGGTGTGAAGCAGGTTGAAAACACTGCCAAACTGACAGTACTTGGTCGCTATTTCAACTGGGAGATTGAAGACAGCACAGACTTCCTTCTTCTCTTGTGACGTTCTCAGAGCCCAAAGTCCTTGGAACTCAGCATTGTGCAGAGACAGACAAACTGGTATAGTCCGCGAAGGGAGCAGGTACAGAGGTGCCACGCAGCCATGGAAATCATTAATGTGGTAGAGATCAATAGAGGGTGTTCGCTTCATTACCTCGGCGATACACTGATTCCAGGCCGAATAGTAAATTGCACTGTCCAGATCATCCATACGTGGAGGATAGGGCTCTGCCTTCGTTTGGTGCCGGAAAACCGGAGCATCAAGGAGAACATAGGTGATATTATCCACAACATGGTACTGCACCTTGACCGAGTAAGGATTATCGAGAATTGTGACCACAAAAGGTTCAGCGGGCGTATCCTCGGGGTAGTCAATATCACCAACACATGGAACAACCCAAATCAGGTTCTGGTGTTTCAAGTTTTGGGACATAAGTTGAGCCATTACTCCGAGACCACCAATTTTGACTTTGACCTGCCAATCTTGGATATCGTACTCCATAGTGGCAATCAACACAGTGCGTCTTTGGTCGCTCGCTCCTGCCAGAGCCATGCTTGTAG